CAGTCGAAAATATGCAACAAGATACTACATACTGTAAATGCAACAAAAAAAGAAACACAGCAAACACAACGTGATTCCAAATCATCCAGCTTACAACGCTATTTTCTGCACTAAAAGCTATAAATAAACTAGTCAAAGTTAGTATGATCACTGTCCCGCCCAGCCTTTCTGTGCCTTTCGTCGAACAAGCCGTTTTGAGCGCGCTCTTATTATGGACCGTTCGTTTGCAGTTACGACAGTACGACAGTCTCCGTCTAGTTTGTGAGACGTACTTTTAGCACAATATTCAAAAACCCACAAAAGTAATTGATCCATTGCATGCAAGCGGTAAGCAGCTGCTACGCGTCTGTCCCACTAAAAACACCACCAGACGACAGACAAAACAAGCGCATAAATTGAACGAGTGAAGTCGTCGCCGTCACCCCATTCAAAGCTTTCTCTAGTTTCTTTAGCAAATACCTAGAAAGTCTATAAATACTTTTTCTATAATTTTTTTCTCTTTTTTTTGCCTGTTGCAGTTGTAGCTGAGATCGGTGTTGACGACGACGTTCTTGTTGGATGATAGTTGTTTTTCACAAAAAATTTGTATTCACTTTTAGTTGTGTTAGCTGTTATTTTATATTGGATCACGACATCTATCGTATGTCGACTTGATGTTCTTTTTACACCATACGAGTAAATGAACAATTGCCTTGCCGTAACATAACATACAACTGTCTGCACTAAAGTTTATTTACTGAAGAAAAAGGAGGACACACGCATAATATCACATACGACTTGTTAGTGATTTTCAGTGATTTTATGAAAAACATGGCTATAAACTTATAAAATACGGGTATTCATTCTTGTAGAGAGGTTAGAGAGAACTAATTTTGCCGTACATGAAACGGTAAACAACCGTATAAGAATACAAAAAAAAAATCATATCATTTACTAAAGGAAATTTAACCATACTTTGAAAATGTCCTACTGCATATTAATTGACACACTAAATTAAATTCATAATAACTTTAACTACAAGGTCCACTCAGTTCACTCAAGCAAATAATTTAGTGCTAAAGTTATACATAAAAAAGTTATATAGTAGAATAAGCAAAAAGTGTATACTAAAATAAGCAAAAGTCAAAATACTAGCTAACAGCATTAATAAATACGTTTATCCGTAACATATTCTCAGAAAAATGAATATTATCAAAAATCACATGGAAATGTCAACTTAACCTGCACTACAACTGCAATAAATATTATCAGTTGAGGGAAAATTATCAGTCTCTATAAAAAAAACTTAGATAATATGAAAAATATTAGGCGTTATAAAAAAAAGGAATGTAGAACCGTCAACTCATCTCACACCATCTAAAATGGCAATAAAAGGATTTGAAAGGGAGGAAGAAGAAAAATGAATAGGAACGTATATAGATGAACAAACCTAGTTTTGAGTCATCGCATCGGGTTCATCTGATATATATGTACATTATTGAGTATCGGCTGGATGCTTCCTTGCGTTACAAACTATTTGACCAATTTGAAATATGTATAGGAACTATATCTTATTTTTGAATAAAATAGCTTTACAAGTGCCCCAATAAATTTAATATGGATTTTTTACAATAGACGTAAAAAGATATAAAATTCAATAACATATGCTTTATTTAAGTTCAAAAAGCTCAAAACAAAATTAGAGAAAAATATATATTGAATTCTGTAATTAACATTATGATTAAAATTCTAAGAACAAAAAGTATACAGTTATAAGTATATGATTGCAATCTTTATAATTATAACAACAATTGCATTTCGTATGTTCTAAAAGTATATTTTAGGGTTTAAAACTTGGTCAGATATAAAATATTTCATATTTTAAATAACAAAATGAATTTGTGGGAATGTGATAGAGTGCAATAAAATAATTGGGTCGCTTATATATATTGCGTATACATAAATATATATATATTGTATATTTTTGTATATAGAAATCCCAAAACTTTTATATTGTATATGAAATATATGAAATACTATAAAAATTAAAACAATTTTTTTGTAATACTATATAAATTACAAAACATAGTTTGTGCTATATAAGTATGTATAATTTGTAAGTAAATAAGTAGTTTAAGCTTTAGTATTATTACTCCAGTGCAATAACGATACATATGTACATACATATAGAGATATATAAGTAGACATATATATAAAAACAAGAGCATCTCTCATCACATAGTTAGTTATGTACTAACATCTGGTTGCAGCACTTGTACTTTGTTTGATGAACTCTTGCAACGAAAAGAGGTCATTGAACCTATAACCTTCTTGGGTGCATTTTTACCACTTTACTGCTACCACTTTACGCTACTACGATAACCTTTTTTTGTTCTTCTCTTATATATAATATAGTAATATTTATATTTTATATATAAATAACTAACCTTATAACTAATACATGCCTCACCTTACTTACTATTTTTATAAATTTAACTTAATTTATTAACAAAATTTCGTAATTAATCATTTTAAATAATATCCAAAATTTACTAAAGTTCAAATTTAACACTTAAAAGAAATATTCTAACTAAAATCCAAAAGTTTTAAATAAAAATAAAAAAGTTGAAAAAAAATTGAATTGAAAAAGGCGCAAAAAGGATTTTATTTTATATGTTAACTCATGGATACACAATATGTAAAGCAGCAGGGACTAGTAGTAGTAGCAGCTGTGGCACATACGAAATTTTCAAAATATTACAACATACAAAAAGGCGCAATTAGTTACTTGGAAAACGAATCAATAAATACATTCCAGTGAAACTACCCCCACAACAGAGATAAGCTTTTCCAGTCAAAAACAAACCCTCTTTTACTACACATTTTCATCTTTATAATTCTTTCTGCTTTAGTATGTTTAGTAAAGTAAACAAGAGCCAGCTTTTGCAACATATGATGTTGCATGAACGAATGAGAGCAACGCGAAGAAAAAGTTTCCACAACCTACAACATCGCATCATGCGACACGACACTAGTACTAAACTATTATATTTATTCATCACACCCACTCGCACGCGCCAACACATTACTGTTATTGATAGTGAACTTCTCGCATACAAAATATATTGTCTGCACAGAGCACAGTTTGTTGTGTTCGTGTGGCCAGCTCGTCCTCGTTTATAAACGAGTGAGCAGTGAGCAGTGAGGAGTGAGTACATCATGGAAGCGCGCGTACGTCTACTTACTATAGTAAGTTTTGCCCCGATTCATCATCATGCATGCATGCACGCCGCGGTTACCGTCGCTACCTAGCAGTTGACTGTGTGTACATAGATTAGACAATACTTCGCACAATAACCCCAAACAACAACAGTAGTGCTTTATCGGTACCAGTAATATTGGCACTGCACTTGCGCACTACGTATGTTGTCCCGGCAAACTTTTTTGACTTAATGTGAACTTTTTTTATTTTTTATTTTTTTATTTTAATTTTTACCCTACTTTTCAGAATGTTGCTTTTGTTTACGGCCTCTCATTTGGGAGCGGCTTTTAAGTTAAGGAAGAACGCATTTTTATCAAAATACAATACAGTATGTATAGCCTTCTAGGCCATTGGCATGACTACTACACATATCTACGACAGCTACACAGCTGGTAGAGCATTAAGAAATTTATGAAAAAAAAAGTCAAATAAAATAAATAAAAAAAAATTGTAAAAATTCCGGCGTTTGCACCACTTTCACGACCTCATCTCTAGTTTTCTATTGCATGAATCTCAGTAAACAACTTTGAGTTGTGTATTTACAATTAGTACGTACTATTATATACAAGAATATATAATATATTTCACAATATATCATTACTATATACTCTTTATAAAATGCATAAAAAATTTTACGTAAAAATACATTCTCTGTTGTGATAGGCAAAAATCAGAGCAATAATGATTAGAAATTTTTTTTTTTGTTTCAAACCATATTTCTTTAATATTACTAAAAAAAAATAATAACTACTATTTTTTTTAGATTTTTTTATTAATAATTTTCATTAAAACAAAGATTCTAATTGTTTTTTCATATGAAAAACAAGTAAAATATTGCAAATTTATATTTAAATATTTTTATTAAATATTTTATTTAGAATATTTTTATTAAAACAAAAAAAAATTATTTTTAAAATATGAGAAACATATATTGCCGATAAATATTTAAATACAGTTAAAGCTGTTTTTAAACGGACCTTTTCTTAAATAGATATCTTTCTTAATCCTGCAAGATTTCTAGTGCCCTGTTTATTTTTCATACTTTCACTGTTTTATTTAAGTGGTGCGAAGTAGTCAAGAGTCCACTTCATTTAGTCTTCTATATCTTTCAATTAATGTGTTTCTACTACAAATTGATATTCTTGAAGTAATGTGGTAACGGAAAGGAATAAGTTTATACGAAGACGGGGTGTTTTAGTACGTATACTAATACTACTACTTAAACTTGATTTACACGAAATTTAAAATCCATTATATTAAAAGTTAGGTTCTCTTCAGTAAAATGGCGGCGGTACAAATTGGGCTTAATATAAAATCTAAATATCTAAATAAAATCTAAAACAATTTCATTAAAAGCAAAAATAAAATATATTACATTTTAAATATAATATTAAACATATTTGTATATTATAACAAGAAAACAAAACCTAAGAGAAAAAATTTCGTTTCGATTCAAAGAATCAAAAAAAAATATATTAAAATAAGCATTACATTATAGTAATGATACAATAGTTAAATAAAATAACTATATATTAAATTTTTACATCATTAAAAATATATTTTAATACTTTTATTCTAATCTATATAAATTCTAAGACGCCATTTATAAATGTGAGGTTAGATACTATTTGGTAAAATGAACGCTGGTAGTAAAAAAGCGTAAATAATTCTTAATGCAAAAAATTACTAATTCATATATATTATGATAGGAACATAAAAATTGAAAAAAAAAATTAGATAATTAGAAAATATAACTTACCTTGCTCAATTTTTCGCCTTCATGGCGTGGCAAAAGCGAACGCAAGTTTTGGAAACCAGCATTAATGCTCTGCATACGGCGTCTCTCATTACTGTTAGCAATTTCACGCCGCATACGCTTTTCAGTTTCTAAAGCGTTTTTATCAGCATCACTTGAGGTCTTTCCACCATTATTAACACCACTAGCACCAGTGCCAGTCAAATTTTTGCCAACGCCACCCATATTTGTACCCTTTTGAACAGTCTGATGTCGACGATGTATTTCTGGTTCGCTGTACTGAATATGATATGACTCGCCCCCTGAGTCTTCCAGTTGTAATCTAAGATAAGGAATTAAAATAAGATAGTAGTTATTACCAAGTATATTAGCCATTAAATATCAATTATAAAATGATATTTATGAATTTATTTATTAAAAAACTAGCGTTAAAGTGGTCTACTCAATTAATGTAGTAAACCACTAATGACAGAAAACTAATATGGCAATTTTAATTACGATTTTGATTGACATTTCATATAATATCCACACAATCTGCATAATTCGCTGGTTTAAATTAGTGTTTGGATTTTTAGCACAACTCGATTTTTGAATCTCTTAAAATTCTCAAGATATCGTATTATTAAATATATAAGCCATAAAAATATTTTGTTGTAAATTAGAGAACTTTAAAATAAAGTATGTATTAACTATTTATTGGATATAATTTCAAATAATGATTTCGCTGTACTGCAAATTGATTAACATGCAGAGATATGGGAAAGGTCTAAATTTATTGTTTTAATATATTTAGACTATCGTACTTAACCCAAATTCAGGTTTATATCGACAAGCATATTTTCTATACGATATCCAAGCAAATATGTGTGAGATAAATGCATAATTTTTTTTAAATTCGTTGATTTAGTAAATACTGCTTCAAAAAATTTGTATGTCATAGTTACAAATACTGTCTTTTTAGCTATGATTCTAAAATAAAATTTTAAAAAAGAACAATTTAGTGAAAAAAGGAATGAAAATTTTAGTCGCTGTTCGTTAAGCTCTGTAAGTTCAAGTGTAAACACAGGCAACAATTACTGACTTACGTTAGGTAAACCAATGTGCAAATATACTATAAGATATTTTATTAATATAATTTTTCATTATTTTCGACTCATATATTAGGGTTTCTTGTGAGTAATGTGACAGTGAAACGACAAATTGTATTAGCAGGAATGAAATTTTTGGATCATCTAGAGATTCAGAAATTTATTAAAGTTAATAAAAGTAAGAATATTATTAAAATAAATCCTGTAATATCTTCAAAAGTAAAATATAGATGAAAAGGAATTTTATCAATATTTAACTTAAAAAGAATTATCTAATCATAGCACTAAAAAAATTTGTGCGGTATTTTTGCAGTGTATTATCTGTGGATCATATTTTTACAAAGGGGACAACCGTTTTCCTGAAGCAAAGAAATTTAGTCTTATGATGAAACGATTGACAAAGACAATTGACCGATTAAATCAATTGGAACTAATTTTCCAGATTATAAGAGTAACGTAAAGTATGTTATTTTTAGATATATTTCTAAATCATATCAAATTCACGTTTTTACTTGAATATGTTATATATACATATGTATATCATATGTAAATATTATAAAATATATATTTTTCTTGTTTTTGCATACTCTCATATTGATTTGATGTTGTCCTAAGAATTGCGCAGTTATATTCTTCAACAATATAATTATATCTGTCATTTAATTGTTCAGGCTGTCTAAGAATAAATCAATGAACGAACAATATATCAAAACAAATGAACATTATCAAAAAAACAAAATATAAACAAACAGAAGAAAACAATACCAATGCAACATAAATAATTTGATACATACAACAAAAAAAAACTAGAATGTGATCATAATAATTTAATCCTAAAGTATGTAAATGAAACTAACAGCAATACTTGAAAGAATAATCAGCAAAAAAAAAGTTCATTCATAAACGAATTTGATTCACTTTAACAACAGAAGCAGCAAAGCAATAACAACAAAAAAAAACAACAACAGAACCAGTAAAGCAATAAACAAGGCAAAAAAAAAATCACCAATAATATCGGCATCAATTTACACAAGGGCTTCAGATTCAAGAAGACAACGAATAAGAAAACACATACGTTCAGTAGAGACAAGGCAAAGCTCACTCTAGCAATCGGTAATCGGCAATAAGCAATCACTAATCAGCAGGCAGACAGGCAATAGAGTAAACATTAAACAGCGCAGCAGTGTAAAAAGAAAAAAAAAGAGAGTACTTTAACGTCATCATACCTATACTATAGCGAACCAACGCGGCAGCATATAATAGTTTGTTCATACACATGGTTGTGCTTATTATCATCTGTTGTTGTTATGATTATTATTTTACGGCTGTGACTGACTTATTGGCTTGCGCGATTTGTTAAAAGAATATTATACACAATCAACTAATAAATACACAAATAATAAAAAAACTGGTTTATAAAAATTTTGAAATTTAAATAGAAAAAAAAAAAGCAAATAAAAATAGAATCACAGATAAGGTTATATTATTTTTTTTTAAATAAAATGAACCCGCCATTCAGAATGTTCAACAACTACACTGACAATATCATTTTACAGCAGATAGCAGCAAAAGGTAGAGCATCACCACACAACATAGCATCATATAAATAAAATGTTACGATAGTTATGTCTGTGTATGTGTACCTGTTTTGAATAGTTTGTTTTTGTAAAGTTGTAAGACCACATTCCGATGCATGCCGTGCGTTGCACCAACACAGTTCTCTGAATGATATTGCGCCGGCAATACCAAACAAACGCTTGCAAAAGTCAACACACGCAAGCAGCAAACAGCAAACAAACAATAGCATCAAAGCAACAGCATTTCTAATCATCATTTTTGATGACATACCAGCTAATACCCACACACACACACAAACTCATATATGCATGCATACACATAGCAAAACAACTGCATTCTTTTGGATTGCTTTGGGAGACTCTGTCCCGCATTTTCTAATTAGGAATGTATATCTATGACGATAGTTTTGGCTCATAGGCGAAGGCAAGCAGCAGCGAAATATGAAACAAATAGTTGATTCTCTTCTTCTTCTTCTTCTTCTTCTGTTTCTGTGCTTTGTTTCCAAAGTAGCAACAACAACAATACTAACATTCTTTGGTGGCTGTGTATAAAAATTCAATAAAGTAAATTTCTTCTTTTGTTTTTCTATTTTTACAACAGTTCACTCGCTTCTTACGTTCCTATATGTATGTATGTATATATGTATGTATTCGAAAATTTGCCGGTTGGCTTTGTTAGGTTGTACTTCAGCTTCTACTAATGGCATTCTTCAAATTCTTCAGCATTTTTGACTTTTCAAGCACACTTAACATAAATTTGTTTCAATTTGTATTATCAGTTATAAATGTTTTTAAATTTTCTAATAATTTTCATAGTAGACATTAAGGTTTTTTTTTATTCTATATACATATACATATATAATTGTGTTTTAAGATTATATATGTACATATATCTTGTACATCGATAAATGTATAATATGGTACGCTTATGTTATGGATAGAAAGTAAAAAAAATCCTCTCCAAAAAGGATTAGAAACAAAGCCTTACTGCATGAACGTGTTAAAAAACGTTCTTTTTTTATTTGTACTCAACATGTTCCCATTTAATCTGTCTATAAAATATTGAAGTCAAAGATAACTTTTTTATTTAATAAAAAAATAGAATTAAAAAAAAATAGAATTGGTGAAAACTTTAAAAATATTGAAACGAATTTAGTTTTCATTTTGGACAAAAATCGAAATACATATTATTATATTTAATTACATATTAATATTTTATTTATTTTATTTTAATTTTTTTTTTTTACTATTGTTATTTTTAAAAATTATCATTTTTTTTTTTTTAATTTTATTTACAATTATTTTTTGTTAATTAAACTTTTAATCATTTCAAATTTTAATATTTGTAATTTTTATCATTTCTTGTTTATATAATTTTAATTTTTTTGTACTTTTAATTTTTATTACTTTATATTTTTGAGTTTTATTATTTTGTATTACTATTCTTAATTGTAAATATTTTTAATTTTTATTTTTTTTTTCAATTTTTAATTATTATTATATTTATTTTTAATTATTTTTATATTTAATTTTTAATATTATTAATTATTATTATATTTAATTTCTAATATTTTTAATAATTATTTTGAAACAATTATTATTAAACATTTGATACAAACTGTTTATAGCACATAAGTTTCATTGTTTTACACTTATAAAGATTGACAACAATAAGGTGGGCAAGAAGGGTGAGAAACAGCGTTAAACATATGAAACATGACATGGTGCTTACTTAACTGATTGAATGCAAATTCATGCAATTTCATATAAAACAACAAAAGCAACAGCTCAACCAAAACTGGGTGGTCGAACGGTTGGTGGTTTGTTTTGTTGGGCATGTTTTGTGCTTTTGTTGTCTTTGCATATATGATGACGTAAGCATTGACCTAATAAACACATATGACTAAAGGTTCACATAAGCAACAATAAAAAAATACACAAGAGATATAACAACAGCAACAACAACTACTCACTATGAAACAAAATGCAACAACAGCATATTTACCATGCGTATGAATAATGGCAATGTAATATTTTCAATCGAACTTTGTAACACAAATGCAGATTTGTTACTGCTGGTTTCTGCCTTGAATGCGAAATGCTAAATAAAATCGAATGTTTAGCCAAACGCAGAACATACACAGATATTCATACAATTCAGACTTAAATATATTCCTGCATATAATATGCAAAACAAACTATATATAAGCGTAATATAAAATATAAAACTTATTTGTGACTTCAAATCTTATTTTATTACAACACAAAAATGAATCAATCATATGAAAAATGCTTGCCTCTACCTCTATATTGCAAATCTAATAAACAGAGACAGGCAGGCATGCAAGGCATATGATGCCTATATGTCGACAGAGAGGCATAGCATCAGGCTGACGTGCTACCAGACAGCTGGTAGCTGGTGCGGTGCTGCATTTTTACGTGTGTTCGTTTGTGTATGTGTGTGTATATATATATATTTTCGTTTTCATTTCGTTTAATTCACAACTACAGCTATTTATAAATTCAAATTGAAAATCCGGCATCATTCACAGCTGCTGGTTAGTTAAGTCAGTGAGAGTCAATGTTGATGTTTTGTTATGATTGTTGTTGCTTTTTTTGTCAACAACATTGTTTGTCATCGTCGTTGCCGTTGCCGTTGTTTTCGCTTAAATCGTCATCATTGTCGTATCTCTTCGTATTCTATATTAAGTAGCAAATATATTTATAATCTATTCTCTTACTATTTCCCGTGTTTTTTATTTAAAATTAAAACAAAAGCCAATCACAATATAAATTTTTCTTTTTTCATTTTTATTTTTATAATATGGAAGCTTATATTTTTGAGGAGAATATTTTCTTCTTTTAGTAATTGAGGGAATTGCTAGCAATGGCGGTGGTGAGGAGATGGAGTGCACCACATATTTCGTTCGCCTTTCATATGATGACCTATTGCAATATATTGCATTTTGTTTTGTAATGCTACATATGATATCTACAGAATATATTTTAAGGGTGGGAAAAATGAGTAATGGGGTTTGGTGTTTAGTATGATATGAACATAAGTTGTGGTGCCTTGTAAAGGAGCATCTGACATTTTTACATTTTTTATTTACACCCAAATAAATAAATATATAAATAAAATTTTTAGATTAAATGTATGTGTAATTTTTTATTACTATTATTTATTTATTTATTATAATTAAATACCTAGGCATAGCTAAACAAACTAGGGCAGATGAACTCTTTTGTCAGCTATCAATATTGACATTGTCTAAACTGGGCAATGAATGTACCAGAGAGCTGTTTCAACTAAAGTGTAATTTACTCAGCACTATATTATCGGTACTGATAGGTTACTGCTTACTGCTTACTGACTTTTGTCGGTGTTGTGGCTCTGCGGATGAGGAGAAAATTGTACTCCACCTCATGTGTTAGTGTTGATCATTGGTTAGGAGAAGATTTAAAAAAATATTCAGGATCACTTTTTCTTACCGATCTGACAGAGTAGCTGTAATCTTGCAAAATTAAGAACTGACCGAGTTTATAGACTTGTCAAGTCTGACTACTGCGGGTCATCTAGTCTATGTATAAACTAATAAGCTAGTCTCCGTGTTATCACTATGGGCCATTATTGAACTCAAGTGGGCTTGGGGCATAAATCTATCACTTCAACGTAACCCAATCTATAGCTGTTAGGCTAACCTATAGCTGCTTAAAATTAAAAATATGTATGACGTCGTATGCATAGAGATATGTAGATTTATTTTTCATAAATTGTAATATACTAAATCATAAATATGTACGAAAGGTATGTATCTCACATATATATTTTTTTGTCAACATATCTATTAATCAGAAAATATATAAACAAACATGATAAAGCTAAGTGCAACAATACAAAAAATAAATATGTGTACATTTACGAACGGATATCTATAAATATATATACATATATATATATATAAGTTATCTATATTTTATCTATATTAAAGAAACGACATATATAAATGCAGCAATTTATGTGCATTGCGCATAAAACGTCAAAAATGTCAGGTTTTGTTTTTGTAAATTGAGCTTTGTGTGAGCTTTACAATTATTTAATGGGTCTGTTTGTTTGGCTCTTACGTTGTTCGTATGTGTGTATGTATATATATAAATAAATATAACACAACAATTGTTAGTTAACCCTTTACACACAATACACCTCCTCACGCCTCATACACTATACACTATATACTTTGCAACAGCAAGTAGTCAGTCAATGTAAACAAATACAAATAGCAGCTGCTACGACGCAATATGATATGTACCTGTAGCAACAACAAAAATCCGAATAAAAAAAATTATAGTAAATTAAGAAAAAAAAAGTAGACGAAGAAAAGCAAAATGAGCGGATATAAGCAAAGCAGTGGGTGTTGTTTTGGGTAGCAGCACAAATTTCCACACCGTTCTTATACATATTAATGTTTGTATGCCTGAAGGGAGATATATCGATATACAAATATATAGAGGGCAGAGTACAGTTAGTCAGTGTACAGTTGACTGAAAAAGAGCAAAAGTTTGCAAAATGAAAATGCGTCGCATATGTTGTATTGAGAAGAGCTCACAGTTAAAGTGCGCTGCTGCTGCTACTGCTACTGTTGCAGTCTGTGACAAAATTTTGCAAATGCGATTGATGTGCAAAGAGAGCAGAAAGCAACAGAGAAATACAGAAATAGTATGAACTGAAAGCTAAGCGCATTAGAGTAAGTTGAACATAGTCAACAAATATTTGCAACAATGCTTTTTACAAAGACAGTTTACTTCTTCCCGCCAAAATATTGACTTTTTCTTCAAATAGTAGGAGGAAGTTGGGTGGAACGAAAGTGATTAGCAAGGCAAGTGTTGAATATATATCAGAAGATAATTTTTTCACATTTAACAAAATAGAATAGAAATTAAGATGTATATATTGCTTATAATTTTAAAATGGAAAATAAATTAAATAAAGAACTATACATTTTTATATGTAAATATATGCCGGTTTTTTAATTCTTACTAAAATTTTTCTTTATAAAATCTTAATTACAAAAACTAGCAGTAATCGGCTGTGCCGAATTAATCGTTTGTATAGACGATTCGATATGTCGACATAGCTGCTCTTGGTTCTCTGCTTAACTGAGAACATTTACATAATTTAATAAAATATTAAAAAATTTAGATATTTAATTAGTAAAACACCTATTGGTTGAACTTTGTATTTCTCTTCCTTGTCAAATCACAGATTGAACTGCTTAAACTGTACTAGTACATTTCTAGCACTACAGTATTTTGTATTTCAGAAGTAAAATAAGAACTGACTTACCGGGATTTAAGAATAGTTAAATAAAATCAAATTCCAATTTTATATGTTACGATAAATCCTTGTCCTTTTTTTTATATATACATATTAATAGACATGTACACGCATGTATGTATATCATAAAATAAACTATATACTAATGTATAAATAACCGCACTTTTACTGTTATTTTATAGCTCGCAAAAACCCGGTCTGTTAAAAAATTAATTAAGTATTTTTCTATATAAACTTTTAATAGAAAACTTGCTAATTAAAGACTTTGTGTGTCGCACATTTTTCACATATATTATTTTTATTCACACTAGAAAAAAATAATAAAAATTCATTTATTTTCATTTATTATTATTTGTGTATTTCACATCAACATTAAATATATTTTTGCAACAACCGAGATTTATCGCCTTTTACATGCCTGAACGCGAACTATAGAAAAGAAACGCGTTGTGCAAAAATCATGTGTTTTTAATCATAGCACACAAAAACAAAATATAAAAACAATAAACGAGGACGCTACGAACACCAACGAGCGAATAACAGGTAAAAAGAAAATTTGCAAACATCGCTTGCACAACAAATTAAACAAACTAACAAACACACGATATGTGTGTAGTGTGTAGTGCACGGCCTCAAAAACAAATAACTTGACTTCCAAGACGGTGGCCGCCTAAAATATTTATGTTCTATTCTGTGCAAACAAACAACAAACAGCAAAATCGAAAAACGAAAAACTATATAAAAAAGTTGCTAAATAGAGAAAGAAGGAATAAAAGAAACTGAACCGTTTGCTTGCAGTGAGAGAGCAGAGCAAGTGATTTTTGATCAAATTCACATACGAATAAGAGTAAAATGACAAGTGCAAAAAACTGCCGCGCAAAATTTATTTGCATAAAATATTTTTTGTTATATATTTGTTAAGGGGCAAATATATATTATAAGCTTATATATATTTAGTTTATTATAATTGTTTAAAAAAAATTTGTAATATAAATTACAATTTTTTTATAAATTAATTTATTAGCGAATATATTGTTTTTCGCCCTTTCTCTTTCTCTATTCCTTCTCTCGTAGTCAGACAACTCTCGCAATACACACATCCATTTTCGTTTGGCGCTTCTTGAAATGAAGCAAAGTAAATTTCCAAAGCGAGAATTGAGATTAATATGTCGCGGCATATTAACCGTGGAAAGTGAAACAAAATATTGTTAAAACAAGTGGAATTGGTTAATTTGCGCAGCTGATATTTGCGTTTAATTGCAAAAGTACAGTCATGGCGAATTCAATTATATTTACAGCATAAAAAAAAAAACAGCAAGTATCAATAAAAACTGATTGGTTAATTTTGAAGATAGTTAAGTTAAAAATAAAAATTACTATTATTAGGAAACGTTTTCGTTCTAAATATATCAAATTTACTAAATAAAAACTTAATTCACTCTTTTCCATTAGGAATATAATTCGAGAAGTATTCATCATTATTGCCTAGACAACAGAGTATTAACCAGAATTTAGTTAATTTAATAAAAAAAAGATAAAAATATTTTAATTTAATCGTTTTATTTTAATTTTTATACAAAATTATTTATATTACAAATATTTCCATCTTCAATGTATACTGTATAAACAAAGAAAGAAATTACATATTTAAATACATGTAAATAAATATATAAACATCGTTTTATGTTTTTTTAATATACAGAAATGTTTTGTAGTTAGTCTAAAAAGTTCTTTTGAGCAGACACTCATCATCAACCACTTTTGGACCGTTCAAAATTTAGCTTTAAAAAAATTGTACCTCCAAGAACAGATTTCATTGTATCATTACACACAGAAAAGTGGCAATCAATTATTTCCAAATTGGTGGCTACAACAAATCTATATATCGTCTAATGACAGTATATTTTATTGTTTATGACACGGCTGTTAAATGGATATGCTCGAAACAATTTGGAACGAATTCTCAAGCTTCAGTGTAATTAAAGAACATCACACACTGAAACATTGCAGTTCCTTAAACCAAAACAATGGTTTAGAGTTCCTCGAACCGCTACACCGAACTATAATGGAAATTTATATGGTTCACAACTTTGTTCTATAAACATGTGTACATAAACAAAGATTTGAACTTCGAATTTGAAAAAAAAAAAAAAAAAAATTCATGATATAATTCAAACGAAATCGTTGTAACTCTATATTTAAGCGGAAATTCACAAACTATTGTTAGAATCGTTGAATGTCACAATGTAAATATATCGTTATAAATACTATCGTAGTAAAAGAGAAACAATAATTGAGCTTTACTATTGAAAACAAACATCACAGAAACATTCACAGAAATAAAAAACCACCCTACAGAGTTAAGGAACTGTTGCGCTAATGCTACCAATTGCCAGATATCGTCGATCCGAATAAGAAAATAATTCCCTATTTGTAAACAAAAAAATAATCAAATCACCCTGACAAAAATTGTCACTCAAAAATTGTGTTGGTTAAGGTGGTGATAATAACAAATGGTTGCTCTTGTGGATCTTGGTGCGTAATGGTATCAACAAGATTCTTCATAGTTCACTTAACTTCGACCGCAATGTAGCCTCGTCTCTCCAGGATATTAAAATGCAAACCCGTACAAAACCGATACTTTTTGATATGAGTATCGGTATTTGACAATATCAAGATCAGCACTAAATAATACTGGAGTGTTGTACTCAAAAAAGCACTTCTCGGTGAATGGTTGAAAATAGATTTATAGGTTTATATATAGGTTCTACAGGTTTATTTGCATACAAGGGGTAGTTCATTTGTTGACGACTCCAAGAAAATAATTCGAGATCCATTGTTATGTCTCCTATACAAGATCCTAAACAACATTACCTAAATTATATATATAATTATTGTATATGTATTCGTACAGCTCATTCCACTATAAGTACAATTAACTAAAAATAATTAATAGCATTTTTGTGAAATTTAACATTTTACAGTTAATCAATGTATTTATATATTTTATATACGTAATATTGAAAATAGACAATTCTACTTCGATAAAATATTTGCAAAATTCTCCGCTTGCAGAACTAAAAAAGCTAAACGAAAGTTTTTATTGCAGCTGTGAAGTAGAAATAAAATAATAGCAATTAATTTTTATGGCATCTACGAACAGATTGTGAGGGAAAGAGAAAGAAAAAAGAGAAAACAACAACAATAAACACAAGATTTTATTTGTAAATCAGCTGAGTTGGTTATCTAAACTATGTATAATGTATATTTGCGTATTTATTTTTACTTTTAAAACAACTCGAAAACATAAGGCACATGTGAAAATGATAAGAGCAGAGTGAACAGACCAAAAATACGCCGCGCCAACGTACAGTGGAACAAACTCACTAATCAGTAAGTAAAAAAATTTGCTTTAAATCTTGAAGAACTGAAAAGATTTCCGAATAGTACGGCATAGTACGAAAATACTTAAAACTATTGATATTCTATTAGCAGAACCAGAAAATCGAAGAAGTGATACTAAGAAAACCGTAACTATTGTTATAATCGACGTCGATCATAAAATCAATTATTGTGCCAGAACACAATGCTGTGCAAAAAAAACTGATCATTTAAAATCATCAGATGACATGGTGTGCTATTCAGGCACCGTTAGCCATTAGTTCTATTACTACACACACTATATTGCATTATCATGAAGCTGTGGAAAAGGACACTTTCATGCTGTTTAGGTCCAAAGCCAACTTGAGCTAAATAAAGGCCCGTTGTGATACTACGGGTAAGCGTTATTCATATGCAAATTAGTGGGATTCCTAAAAGCACTGTAGTAGTCGAACAAATGTTGTTGACATTCAAAGCACTCAAATCAAATGATCACCTGTTTCTTTGATTGATGTAGAACAATCAATTCTGAATTGCACAATACCATTTATTTGGCAAAAATTTGCAGAGATAATAAGACTACCCAACCTTCAAATACACATAAATCCATACACATCACTATAAACCGAGCTGTTGTTGTTGTTGTAACCCGCACGAATCTAAAAAGCAGACAACTTAAAAGGTATTATAAAGATGTTTGCATGGGTTAGGATGTGGATTAGGGTTAGCATGGTAGTGTGAAACGACTGCATGTGTAGTCCCTTTTGGGGGTTTTAAACGAGATCGTAGATGATCGTAGAATTTGATGAGTGGTTTTGGGACGGCAATCAAGCCGTTCTTGTAACAATACGCGCTCTTACACAACATCGGTTCAAACAAATCACGTTCGATTTGTAATTATTTAAAGTATAAAATTAATAGGTCGGTCATACGGCGTAAAGCAAACTGCATGTGGACGAGACAAAGGTTTCCGTCAGCTGTAGCATTTGGTTAGTTCAAATGTTACTAACCATGTATTTGGAAAAACTCTTATAAGTTTTTTTCGACATCTGCAAAAGTTTATAGATAATAAACGAGAATATATTGAGAAGCAATAAAGCATTTTCATTGACAAATTACTATTTTATTTACTGTAAGGGTCACAATATATAGTATATATAGTGACTACGCCCCTTGTGATTGAGAAAAATAGAACCAACTGTAACAACAGTACTACTTCGTTCAACTTAAAGAAGAAAAATATTTTCACAACTGCAAATGTTTTCTAAAGAAAACACTTGAAATATCTCTAATACATTATAATTGTGATTAAATATGTAGATAGATACATTATTTCAATTTCATCAGAGTGTTTTGCAAGCCAAGTATAAACCAAGAGACTTCCAAGTTTGCTGCTTGTTGGATGGGTAGTTGTGATATATGACGGACATAGCGTTTGAAATGTGTATGAAGATAAAACATATGATAGCATTTCGTTGCTATTCCCGCTATCGAAACTACAGTAATTACAAATTCCAATTAGATATTAGAAATTCCAATTAGAACAGAGCAAAGTCAAAGAATTTAGCAATAAAGGCAAAGGTAAGGTAAGAGTCAATAAAAAAGGAAAGAGTTATCTCTTAACACTTATTTTTATTGCTGTTACTTTTAAAATAAATTTTTTTTTCTTTAATTTTAAAACCATATGATTTTGATAAACGTCAGCAGGCAAGCAGGCAGCAGACCAGATTTGAACACACATCACTCATAACAGAACAGTAAGCAAGCAAGCAGCTAAGCGCAGTAGTGCAAGCAAGCAAAGCAAAAAATAAGCAAAAGAGAAAGGCAAAACATTTCTTTGCGTAATTACTGTTGTTGTTGTTGTT